TGTGTGGCTCTACAGCCTCATTTTTGGTGGACCTATTTTGGTGGTTCGGCGCATTACGCGAATCCGCGCATTACGCGCACGGACACGGTAGTCTGTTCGCATCAGCACGGACTTTTTCCTCAACGCTGAACTCGTGATCAATCATCCCAACTTCAACCTCTTACTGCACAACCAACATGACCTCATTTGGAGCTCAGATTTCAGCAAATCGTGTCACAGGAGGTGAATTATCAGTGCGTCAAAGAGATTCTATTATCTCTAAGCATGAAGCTGGCTGCAGTACCAAGGAGCTGGCAGAGGAGTTTGGCTGTTCACGTCGTGCAATCCAGAAGACTATCCAACGTTGGAACACAACTGGCAGCAACCTATCTAAACCCAGGACTGGTCAACCACCTAAGCTATCCTGTCGAGAGAGAAGATATCTATTCAGGCTTGCTCGCCAATGTCCAAAAATTGAATACTCAGCAATGCTACATGACCTTGGACTCTCAGTTTCAGCTGCTACCATTTGATCAGCACTCAACAAATATGGCCTTAAGAACTTCAGGGCCCGACGGCGACCAAAGATCAATGCTGCTACAGCTGCTCAGCGTCTCAGATATGCCCGTGAGGGTCGAAACTTCAACTGGAAACGGTGCCTTGTCAGGTTCAGTGATGAATGTTCAGTCCAACGTGGCTCTGGAAGGGATACTGAGTGGTCCTTTGGCTATCCTGATGAGAAATTCGACCATAACAAAGTCACAGAGGTGACTACTGATCATGGGAGCCAACAGATGGTATGGGCATCAATATGGATCACACCTGGTGGTAGAGTTGGTCGGTCACCTCTAGTGATCATGGAGAAGGACTACACTTCAAAGGGTCAGGGGTATACAAGCCAGTCCTATATCAAAGTACTTGACCAAGGCCTTCTCCCTTACTACCAGCCAGGAGATCGATTTCTACAAGACAATGCTCGAATCCATACATCAAAGGCAACCTCAGAGTATCTAGAGAGCCATGGGATATGGACTGTCAAACACCCAGCATACTCACCCAACCTCAACCCTATTGAGCACATGTGGTGGGCCTTGAAAAGGATTGTTCATCTTACCCACCCTGAGCTAGATCATATTGGTAATTCTCAGGAGGACTGGGACAAGTTTTGTGAGGCATTGAAAGAGGGGTGGCTTGCTATACCTGACACGCTTGTGCGCAATCTTATTCATAGCATGCCACACCGCCTTCAGGCAGTGGAACAAGCGCATGGCTACCAGACAAAATATTAGCTTTTTGCAAATAAAACTAGCTACAAATTATTATATTTGGTCTACTATTGATGGTGCAAGAGGTGGTTGAAGTAAGGGTGTGAATGTTGGTGGGGTGGCTTGTGCTCGTTCGGCGAACAAATTACTTTCCTAGTACTGTACTTTCCTAGTACTGTAGCTAGGAGGAGACGACTATATACCTGACCTGTAACACACTAATCCAGGGTAGTGGTCAGGGGTATAGTCAGACACTGTACGGACCAACCGATACCGCAACATAATACGATATTGGAATTGCAGGGCAAAAACAGGGCAACAAGGCAACAAGGCAACAACATAAGAAGCTGGAGAAAGCGATTGACCCGCTTTCTCCAAGATCCAGAAGTTCTTGAACGCGTCCGATCGCTCGTAGCCGCGTTCACAGCCTCCAGTCACCTGCTCTGCGCCCAATGCCCCACCAGGAAGAGACCCGCTGTCTTCGAAGAATACATCAAGACCGCATACGGCAAAACCGAGACTCCTGAGAGCTATCACGCTGAGACAATCATCTTTTATATCTGCTTCTACATCATGAGTGTCCTACACTTGGAATTCATTGAGCATGTTAGTGTTGCAAGTCTGAAGGAGCTCGTGGAGGGTATCAAATATTGGGTCACGGCATATGACTTGAGTCCTGGTTTCTTGAGCAAAATCATGCTGTTCGATGCCCATCCGGATGCTGTCAAGGCCCTTCGAACGAACAAGACAGAGAAGGAAAATGGAGACGTGGACCAAAGACACGGCTCAGCAAGAGCAAAAAGTCCTCAAAATGAAGACAAAGACGCGATAGTTCATCTTGAAAGGGCCACAAATCAGGTAGACAGCACCAATATGTCGTTCTAGATTAACGCAAGATCTTGAAGAATCACAGGAAATCTCCAATTCACACAGAACGCGGGCAAGTCAGATACTTACTGGGGCCATGATCGATCGACAGTCTATTTCAAGAATGAAGCGAAGTGTGCTACATTTCAGACAAGTATGCTAGCAGGCTTCGACAACTTCCTAGAAAAGCTTGAACTCCACAAGCCTAACCTTCTGTCCGTCCTTCGGAGTGAACACAATCCTAACCTTGCTGCTATTCGCCTCAGACCATGATGCCTCAGTAATACCATTAGCCACAGACTCAGCATACTTGGACTCCGACACATCAACCCACGTATCACCAATAGCAGCCTGAACTCGGTAGCTGGTAGGAACATCAAAGCCCTGCTCAGCATTTGCGAAGAAAGCGATCTCAGCGCTGCTTACAGCGGTAGACGAGCCAAAATCGACCTGGAACCAGACCTCGGTGCCGTTGCCCTCAGGTGTGCTCCAGCCGTTGGCAACATCGGTCTCGGGAAAGAACCAGGTACGTCCATCAATGGCGCCGTAGAGGAACACTGCGTCGACGCCAGAGACGGAAGCGCTTCCTGCGGGGAACACGGTGTCGGTACTGAGCTTGATGGACTTAGCGATCTTGTGGGTGATGGCGGGAGGTGCAGTGCGGCTTAGCTGAACGCTCAGGCGGGAAAGTGTAGGTGCAGAAGCGACCACCTTGCCGTCGACTTCGATCTTGAGGCCAGCTGAGCCGTAGCGCGAGCCGTCGGCGTCCCACTGTACGGCGATCTCGTGGCCGTGGTAGATGATGGAGTCAGCGCGAAAGTACGAGATGGCGGATGCTTCAGCAGCAGGGTTGACCTCAAGGACATCATCGGCGCTGGGGCGGATACCAACGAAGCCGGAGAGAACGGAGTCGACGAATCCGGAGTGGAAGTAGTGAGGCGAGCGCTTCAGACCAACAATCGGGAAGCCGGTGTCGGGGTAGTAGTCCTCCTCAAGATCAAGGATATTGCCACGTTCAGGATTGTAGTGCAGCTTAGCATACTGCTGCAGAATTTTGGTGTAGTCGCCCTTGCTGATGACGCCGGTAGCAGTTCCGTTGGGATAATGGTCAAGGAAGTTGGCAAGGCCAGTAAGCACCTGAGTAGTCTGGAAAGGCCAAACGGGACCGTTCCACTGGCACTCAGACTGTCGGCCATTTTCCTCTACGTAGCGATATTGGCGCATGTAGTACTCGTACGTCGGTCCGACAGTACGCAGACCGTGGGGACCTGCGAACTCGTTGGTATCGAGAGCGTGTTTCCAGGTTTCGGCGAACTCAGGGGTGTCATCTGGCAGGTCGTGAGCCCAGGGAACGAACCCAACGAGTTCACGGCCACGGATGAAGTCCCAGTACTTGACGAACGAGTTGTCGACCTGGTAGCGATCGATGAAATGCTCGAAAGTTGAATTCCAGAGGTCGTTCTGCACACGGCTCTTGATGTCTGCAGCCCTCTGGTTGTAGGTGGTTACAGTGTCGCCAGAACCACCCTTCAGCTGAGCCAGCTTGGCAATAGAGATTGCGTTGTCATACTGATACGCATTGATACTAGGTCGGAAAGAGTTGCCTCCAGTAAATCCGTCCTGTCCGCCGGTGGCGTCGATACTCGAGATGGTGTACTCAGTGGCATCGCGAAGCGGTTCCACATAGTAGAGACCCTTGGACGTGTCAAATGCATCCTGCCAAGCTTCGTACACAGACATCATGGCATTGAGGCGTGCTGTAGCATCTGCGGCGACACCGTCTACCAGGTAGCCCTTGTAGACAGAGGCTGCCATACTCTCAGAGAATTGGCGAGTGTTGCTGTTCGAGCTGAACATGAAAGTGGCGTAATCCTCCTTGAAGCGTCGGTCACGGCACCAGCGGCCTTCAAGTAGATGGAATACCGTGGCATCGTTTAATGACGCCCAAGGCTTAGTTTGCCAGCCTACATCGTCGAGGAACTCAGTTGAGATGAATCCATTGGCGCCGAGATCGCGCTGGTGAGCGCGAAAAATGTTCCAGCGGTAGTAGTAGACGTCGGTGATGTCCTTGTCGCTAGTCTCGAAGAATGGGATGCGGTTGCGGTACCAGGGCGCATCATTGCCGAAATACTGCTTTGCTAGAGCATCGCCATCGAGAGCAGCCTGGACTTGAGAGACAAGAGGCAGTAAGGCAAGAGCTGAGATGCTGTTTCGCCTCATCTTGACAGAAGAGTTGTGGCTATGAATGAAGGAAAGGTATGGGTTGGTGGTGGCCTAACATGGGTTCCGTCCTCCTTTTATCCTTCATCGCTCGCCATCGTCATGGTTGATGACCTGGATGCCCTTGACATGCAAACGGCAATGATGCGCGTTGAGATGTACCGAGGACGATGCTGTAACCCTGGAATGGCAGCTCGTACCGTATTCGTGAAGTGTAAAACCTCCGTCGGCGTGTTGTCCGAGCGAGGGTTGATATTAGCCTTGCAGAAATCGAGCAAATGCCCCGCAAAGTTTCGGGTATTCCCCGTGGGGCAGTTTCTCCCTTGGCGGCAATGGCTGCGTATGCTGCCCTGTGTGTGCGCGCACCTGCGCATCAACATGTCAACACCATACTTTCCGATAGATATTAATCCACCACAACGCTCAAAATATGCCTGTTTTGCGCCGCGAAAAGTTCAATTACCATGGAAACAAGGTCAAGAAGTATCCCAAGACCAATCGCACTGAGTTGAGTCATGTTGCCCGCGCGTTTGCAATGGGGTCGCTCATCACGCTCCGAGGCAACATTACATCCCAACATCAACTTGCAACCAAAATGGGCCGCGCGCAGTCCAGCTTATCGGAGCTACTTTCTCGTACAGAGAAGAAGGCGGCAGAGAAGACTGTGGCACTATGGGACGAAATTCTCTACAAAAACGACCTGGGGAGGGGGAGGAGCAAGCTGTTGACAAAGGATCAGAAGGAGCGCATTGTCAGTCTTGTCATCTCAACGCACGACAACAGAGAGAAAGAGAGCTGGCAGGCAATTGCTGATGGCGATTTTGATGAAATTGTACCCAGGATGAGTGTAACCACTTTTGAAAACATCATGTACGAGTATGGTTATGCTTGCCATTGTCCTAGCTGGAAGCCGCACCTCACACCTGAACAAGAGAAGGAGCAATATGTCTGGGCCCTTGAGCATAACCCTGACAAGGATGAAGAGTATGACAATAAAGGCTTCAACTTCTATGGAATCGCATACACTGATGAGATGCCAGCTCAAATTGGCAAGGAGCGAGGCATGTGTAGGACTTGGTGCAAAGGAGATGAGCGCTGGGATGACAACGTCAAACACAATCGCAATTGTAAGGACTGCTGCCTCCAGTTCTATGGCGCCTTCCGCTACAATTATAAAGGCCCTTGTTGTAACGACACAGGCCAGTAGGGAAGATGTCTGAAGTTAGTGTGAGTCCACTACAAGGCATATGGGAGTGCTGGGACGTTGAGAACACTAGGATTGAATTCCCTACACACATAGGTCTTGTACGAAAGGATACAGAAAAACTGCTCTATCTAACGACTGTGTTGGACTAATTAAATATACAGTTCGGAGGGGAATCGGAACTACCCATGTCTAGGTGACACGGAGGTAGTTAGCGACAGGAAGGAGAGCGGTGTGCTGAGTCCTGCAGGGACCACACGTTATTGGAGCGCTTTTGGTCGAAGGCGTTACACTTGTCATGTTTATCATGAAGAGACTGAGGCTGAAAAAGCAGCTGCGGAGGTTCACATCAAGGAGCTCAATGAAGATCAGAAGACCCATGACAACAAAGCCCAGATCTACGCCCGTCAAGCCCTTGCCTCTATTGGCAAATCAGACGTTAACAATCGCTATAACACGCGCAAGAAGCAGTATGTACCCAGCTCTATGGACTATAAGTGTGGCAATTGAACACATGGCGGTGTTGATGGCTACCGACACCGCAAAGGTGCTCTGAAGAAGGTTGTCCCATGGATACAATTGCTCAACAAGAAAGGAATTTGTACTGTACTTTTGCAGGATGGAGCCCCAGCTCATAAGAGCCGTCTATCACGTGATTATCTGATGATATAGCACATTAACCGACTGTGGTGGCCTAGTCATTTGCCAGAGATCAATGCATCAGAGCACGCTTGGCCATGGATGCGTTGCCACGTGACAAAGGACCACACTCCATCCTGTAATGCAAAAGAGTGCAAGGAGCAATGGGTCAAAGAGTGGGAGCTCATGCCTATAGAGGTCATGAATCAATGGGTGGAAGGCATCCCAGAGCAAGTGTGGAGGATTATATGCGCTGGGGGTAAGAACAACTTCCACGGATAGTCACAATATCTGAATTTCTGTCTGTATACACTTTGCCTTATTGCAAAAAACTTTGTCTATTTAAAATAATTAAATTGTGTGAATAATTTGCTGTTTTGGTGGTGTTTACTATGGGAATTATGAAGCTTCTGCATTGTTGGGGGCTTGTGCGCGGACCAATCGGCCAAAAAAAACCCGCTTCTTTGTACACGGCGCTTAAGTAATGCTACATATAGCGCATGACCCAGATATTTCCCTATAAGAATACTGAGATAAGGAATGCGTTTCTACAAGGACGCGAGTGCGGATTGCAAGGTCAAGGGGTGAGGTTCCTACTTGGCAGGTGACATTCCCCGGTGGGCTCCGGTGGGCTCCGGTGGGCGTGCCACATTTAGATCTTGCTGATCGCTCACATGGCGTGGTGGTGATCTTGTTTGTAGATCTTGGGGATGAATTATTCGAACTGCATTGCCAAACGACAAACTGAATATGTGTAGAAGGCGCAAGACACGATGTCCGCCAGTATGATTGTGTTGAAGTCGTGTCTTAAGCAAAGCTCGTAGACACTATTCGATTGGTTCTCGGGGATGAGCAGAGGTACAGAAAGCCGTTGGGGGTTGGTTATCACTGAGCAAGCTCGGAGCGGCAGAGGTTTGACCGTGATAAATCGCCGTGATAAATCGCCGTGATAATCAGGGGTAGTCGTCTAGTCAAAGACCATGGCGACTGGTTGCAATGAGTAGTACAGAGTATACTGTCTGGCTC